TTATTTAATTTTTCTTGTATAATTTTCCTTTTTATTTAATTTTTCTTGTGTTTTCTTTTCTGGACATAAAGTGAGTAAAAATTGTCCAAATGTTCTACATATCCAACCACTTTTTGGCTTTTCTTTTGCATTTTATCAAGGATGATTTTTATTTCTATTTTTAACTGAATGTATGGATTTGTGTGTGTGTGTATAGAGTTATAGGAATATTTTGGGGTTTTTTTATTTACCAAACATGGCCAGCACATTGTGATCATGTTCATAGTTGTTATTACTGAGAGTTGGCTTTTCCTTTATATATGTATATATTTTACATCATATGACCCCCCCCACACACACACACCGTGTGCTTCAAAAGTAATACCTCCTATTTGTTTCCACATAAAATACAACATATACAAGGGTCAGAATAACACTGTTGGGCAGAGATGGTTTTCAGCTACAGAACACTATTTTTCCACATAATCACCACCATCATGTATGCATTTTTGACAGTAATAATCAAGTTCTTGCATGATAGACTTGTAAAAATTTGTATGAGCAGATGAAACCCACTTTTTGACAATGATGTTGAAACTTATTAAAAAAAAGTGTTCTCATACCCACCATTTGGTATTCCTAAATGTTCAGCAAGTATCAATGAATGTCAGTCAGGGGATAATATTCCTCACCCACCATTGAGAAATTCAATGACACACTTTTCATGTACACCCTTGTACAAATTAATTGATTTGTTCACTAGTAGGGCTTGTGTTCATGCAACATTACAATTTCTGTATGCTTCCTTGGAGTAACGTCCATCACGGACAAAAACCATAGGACAACCAATCGACAGTTGAGACAATAGTGTCTGGGCATGAGAAAAATCTGATATAATCACAGATGACACAATATTTTTCAATGCCAAACAAATTTTATCATACACCCCCAAAATAGATTCATATTACTACACACCACTGCAAATGACCTAATCTGAGGAAAAATAGAAATCGATTACACCCTGTTACTCCAGAGGGTCTAAAACTGACCATATGGTGAAAGAAAGTAAACTAAAGCAGTTGTTTCAATTAATTTTCCCAAGGGTGTACTTAGATGGCTGATAACATTTTATTTGACTGCTGTTTAAATGCCTTCTGTAATAAGGCCACAAATTATATATTATTGGCAGGAACACTCATTCTCTGTTTCAATACTACCAACAGATAAGGCCAAAAATGGAGTACTGCTGCCATGTATAGGCAGGAGCTTCCCAGTCTTCGTGTTACAGTCCCATTATCACTATCAATGGCAAACATATACATGGAATACTTCAAAGAAATGGCATTAGAATCCACATTGCTGAAGCCAACCCTATGTCTGAGATACATAGATGACACCTTTAAACTCTGGCCACAGCAGGAAGAGGTCCAGCTATTACTGGACCATGTGAAAGTAAGATCATCAATACAGTTCACAATGGAGAGATAGAAAACACCAAACTAGTATTCCTAGATGTACTCATATCTTGAACAGAGCATGGGTTCAAAACATCCGTATACCACAAGCCAACATTCAGTTCACAATAGAGTGAAAGAAAACGACACCAAACTAGCATCCCTAGATATCTCGAATATTATTCAGCAGATAATACCTCAACTGCAACTTCCACCACTAATACAGTGTAAAATAAGGTATTGTCCGCTGCCTACAATATCAAGAAAAAATCATAAGTGGCAACCCAGAGACATGAACAAGAAATGGTCAGTATAAGTAGTACTCTACAATGTAACAACGACCCAGGAGAGGGCACTGGGATCATTATCTGGCACCCGAGGCATCCCCAAAAAGGAGAATTTTGTCTATGATTTTGCTGAAAGCCCACATTACAAACTTTAACCTTGTGCCACATTCTGTTTGTGACATGAGCAATTTTTCCAGAAATCCCACATTAAGTGCCAAATTTGTATCATATTCCGCGATGTGAGCATGCAGAAAAATACACTTCATAGTGATATGGGCTGAGCTGTTTTATTCTACTGATGTAAGGTGAGGACGCACAGACGAAATTTAAACTTAAATGAATTTATAAAATTTAACAGAGAATCAGGTCAGCCAAATAAAAGACTCCAAGTTGGTTGTATGTGGTGTTGTAAGCACCAGGAGTTGCATCGTCTTCCACAATGGACTGTTGAGAGAATACCTTCTACTTATGAACAATACTGGGCAGCATTGGTCTAGGGCTGGGAGAGCTATATAACACTAGTGTTTTTCTCAGTTTATAGAGCACTCTCACTGAAGTAATTATTGGAACATGAAAGTAACAGTTGTGCTCATCGTTATGAGAGCACTTGGAGAAGAGCCTTGTGAAGAATTTTTTTTTTATGAAAAAATCAAGACCAATCACAGCCAGACAATAGCATTTATTTATTAAAATCAGCTTTTGTAAAATATTTTTATCTTATTTACCTTCGAACTAATATGCTCATCTTTTTTGTTGTTACTGTCACAACATTTCGGCCATTGTGATCTCTGTCCTTCGTCAAGTGTCTGTGAAAACTTCAAGAGTACTAAGAATTAACTCCTTTTAGTTAGACATTATGCTGACACAAGTTAACCACCATCGCCCTCTCCTTTCAAAAAGCATACATGATTATTTTTTTTAGGTACCAGCAAATTACTTGCGTTTTTTTTCCCAAAATGAAAACAAAAAATTGCTACTACCTGTTTTAAAAAAAAAATTGCTAAAAATTCGAGAATTACCTGATTTCCATCGAAATTTTAAGTACTTATTTATTATTAATGAATGAATTATCCATTCTACTCAGTTTAATAAAAAAGCATATTCTTGAACTATTAGTAGTTAAACTAAAAACTAAAGAAAGAGAAAGGTAATTTATTTTTAAACTAAACATATACTAATTTTTTCTTGATTTTTACAAAATCCAGTTAACTGATCCTTAAATTTACTAATTTACTTTGGAACACATCTTTGGACAAATATTGGATTTTCAAGAGATTTTTAAATTTGTTACTTACATTTTTTTTTCATCTATAGTGGCAGTTCAATGTTGAGTGGTGAGTTAAATGTTTTAAAAAAAAACTTTATGTGGAAATTATTTTTCTTTCAATAAGGATTACCTTTTAGTTTTTAGGCTATTAAAACCAAAATTTAACTTCAAAAAAAGCATTTATTATTTAAAATACGTTTTTCGCTTGTTTTTATTTATTTTTTTTTTTTTTTTTTTTTTTTTTTTGAAGTCTGTGGTGGTACCTTTTGTGATCTTCACTGCCAAAATCAAAAATTTTATAGCCGGGAAGACGACGCCGATTTTAATTTTTATTTTAAAGATAAAAAAAAGTTATTTTAGAACGGAAAAGAGAGAAAATATGGTAATAATCTTGTAATTTAGCGCCTCAAATTAATCATGGCTGCATTGTGAAGGAAGAAAAGCATTTTTTCAAAAATGATGCTTCGTTTCATCACATTCCCACAAAAACCGTGATAGTTTGGGATGCTAAACTATGAGACTGCAAGTAAAACAAAAAGTTTTAATTGAAAATTTGTCAATCTGAAAGAGAGAGGAAGGGGAAATAGAGAGAGAGAGAGAGAAAAAGAGATAGAAAAAAAGAGTAACAAAAAATGAGAAAAAGAGACTGCGTTTTTAATTTCGTCATACGTCGATATAAGTGTCTTTCTCTTAGAAATGTTCTAAAAAGGATTGAATTAAATTTTCTAAAAATACTTCGATCTCTCCTCTTAGTAATGACATATAGATTTCAATGACAAAACTTTCGTTAAGTTTGAAGCATTTTTTCATTACAGTAATTTTTTAGCGATTTTGTGAGGGTAACTTCGATTCTTACAGAAAATTCAATCATATCGCAATTTTTTTGTTTGACCTTTCTGCCGTACTAAACTAAAAATAGATTGCCTCTACACACGACATTTGTCAGTATCGTAGATTTTACAAGTATATACGAAGTAAACTCGAAGTTAATAAATAATATTATGACAGCTTCTTTGCTTTCTGTTATTTATATCAGCGCCTTTTACTTATCGCATGTGCGTGTGTTGTATTTTTGTAACTAACACCGCATTAGCCAATCATAATTTCTTTACAGTTTCCCTTACAAATGACGTCATAACTTTACCTTCTGACGTCAATGATGATATTATTTGTCCGTAAAACTACTGGCAGAAAATACTCATTTAGCGGTCAACACACACACACACACACACATCGCAAAAAAAATTAAAAATCGGATATATAACCCTTTTTTTTTAACCTACCTTGTGCCTCTTACTCTTTGTAAATTATCTACATAATTAACCGTGACAAGTTAATTTTAAATGAAAACTAATGCTCTTTTTTGTACTAAGTACAAATGCCGCCTGGAATAGTTAGGCCGGTGGGAATTTTTCAACTTTAAAGTTTAATAATAAACTGGAACAAAATAATCGTGCCGCGGAGAAAATTATTTGAAAATAAACACCATGTAAATAAATTAATCGTACCGGCATCTGTATTTGATAAACAAGTGTAGTGAGTGCGGGGGGGAATGGGAGCGTCTCTATCAGAACCTCTCCCGAAGTTTTTTTTATATATATTTTTTTTAATTTTTAACATGTGTGTGGGTAGGACTGTGTGTGTGTATGGGTAGGACTCTGTGTGTGTGTGTGTGTGTTTAACGTCTGTGTAGTAGACAGAAGTTTTTTTTAGTTGCATTGATAGGTTTCAATAAAAACTAAAAGTGAAAATGAAAGAGTTGGAAAGAAGATTTGGGAGTGTCGCTAACGGAACCTCTTCTTACAAATAACCTTTTCTTTCTCTTTCTCTCCAATATTTTTCGTTTTCTTTTTAGGTGTGTGTGAGTAACTTGTTCTTTACCCGAAATGTTTTTAGCTGTCTTGGTAGATTATGAGATAAGAAACTCTCACCGCTGGAGACAACACAACCCCTTAGCAATTTCACACTCTACTACTACTACTACTTGATTTTTCTTTTCTTTTCTTTTTTGCTATGGAAAAAGAAGTAAAAAACCTAGTATATGAAAAAAAAAAACGTTCCGCTGTGCTGACCTTCACCTACTGTTCGCCTTTCTTTTCTCTTCTCTCAGCTGGTAACATTTATATACCAAATCTTTTTAGCTCTTGATTAGGTTCCACACAAACACCCACCTACCCCAGTTGCTAGTTACGTCTCTTTGCGAGAGAGTTTGGTTCAATGGTGTGGTTTTCTCTTACAGGATAAACAAGAATTCTATCTATTGTTTGTTCAGGCTCTTACACACTATCGGAAAGGGAAAATTAGAATTTATTTCTGGAACTAGGATACACAATGTCAATCGACATCAGTAGAAAAAAAAAGCTTAGTTAATTATTATTAAAGGACAGGCATAAGTAATTGATTGATTCGTTTTCTACAGCTTAGAATTATTTAAAGCCAGAAAATATTTTTATATTGTAAGAATTTTTTCGTTTTATGAGATAATAATCATTTAGTAATACAGTCAGTTATGTGCCATGCTTGATACATGCTTGGGCGATCATGTATCTTTCGATACATGACTGACGAGGCAGATTTTTTCCCGAAATAGTCTTTAATAATGCATGCCTCTCTCTCTTTATATATATATATATATATATATATATATATATATAGGATTAATACAAATGAAATTTGTTACTTAGCTGATTGATGTTATATCAGCATTTCAGCTCCAGAGTTTTGTTGACAAACCTTTTTGAAATCATTCAGTCCACTCGTCAGGAGATTTCAGCAATTGATTCTGACTAATAGTGCATAAGTGAATGACAAGATGGAAAAACTTCACTAACGGTTTTGATTGAATAGTCCATACATACCTTTTCACCCCTCCAGAATAATACACTCTACCACAAAATTACCTATTAACCAATCAACACCCTGGCTCAAACTGTAGCAAATTCACGTGAAAATATCTTTTCACACCTAACCGTTTTGAGCCGATTCCTACTTCCAGAACTAAATAAAAGGAAGCATTCAGATCGATTGAAGGCAGTCAGAATCCTGGAGAAGTGCCAAATGAATCCATGCCAGTCAAAATCATAACCAGCTACATTTTTGCCATGCAAATTTCTCTGACTCAACACACGCAGCATTTCGCTCTACCAGGAACAATTTCTTACAATACTAAAAAGGGATAATAACTCACTACTAACAAGTATTCGTAAATATTCAATCAAATATCTAAACAATCCAAGGTAAACAACTCTGGAGAGTTTAAAGAATTAAACTCCTACTTTATTCACGCATACAAACTACACAAATTTCTGTATAAATAATATTTTCCATTTTTGCCCAGTTCTTAAACACTTGAACAATTTTGAACTGCAAATCAATAAGAAACCCAATTTACCAGTGGTCAATTTCTTGCATTATCAAACTACAAGTTTTCAAATTGTATATTAATTGTACATAAATGCATGTTTTATTGAAATCTCACAAGCGGTGTTCCTTACTCAATTGCCTTGTGATTGATTCGTTTTTGAATGTCTATATTCTATATTGTTGTGGATTAATATGGTGAACATGCCTGTAAACTAACCATCTTAATATAAAAACCTTCTGATAACAAATTTAAACACATAGCAATCCCAACAGTTTCATTGGTTGAATTGTTTTATAATATAAAAAGTGGTAAAACAGTCAGTTAAGTTACCAAGCGTCTTCACAGTAACCCTGAAAATATGTAATAGTAAACTACAAGTTCAAGAGTATATTTGACCTTAATGTCAAATTCGTCACCAGTGGGGATACCTTTTCTACATCTTCCCTACCCCGCCACACACACACACACACACACACACCTTGCAAAAATAATGTAAACTAGTTTTAATGTACAAATTCTTAATCATGCCTCCCTAACTTAAAGGTGAAGCCCCTCTCTCAAGAGAGTAATACTGAGTAAAATTGTGAGTTTGGGATCAAATATAGATCAAATATGAACTGGAAGGATAAGATAAAGTATAAGCAAAGTGTATACAGTCTTTCTCATACATTTTTTTTTAGATGTATGTAATGAGTGCCCAGATAATTTAGTTGGAAAAATACAAGAAATGTCTAGGGTTTTTTTAACTCAAATTTTCTGTTGAGTGCTGAAAGATAAATGTTACTATTAAGGTCTAAAAAAGGAAAAAGAGACAAATTTTTTATTGACACATATTTTGACAACCTGTTCGTGTGAACTGTTTGTCCAATAGTGAGGATGTCACATGTTTGTGTGTGTGTAAACACAAACATGTGACATTCTCACTATTGAGGATGTTGTCATGGAATGTGCCACACTCCCTATCGCACATGTGGACTGACTATATCAGTAGATATATATAATGGCAGACTTGCTTCGGCAGTTAGTTGGAGATTTGTCTCCAGCTGTACTTGTTGAACTCTCTGCTTTCAGGCAGAGAGGAACCCAGACGAGGCTATGCCGAAGGGCAGAGTATCATCTGGGGTGGTAGACAGCTACCGACCCCATTTTTACGGGGAATTTTTGCCCAAGCCTATGGGCTCGGTTTTACCCCGTATTAAAAACAGTCTTGTTCCACATTCTGCCTCGCGGGGAGGTAAGGTAAATAACCTTGCTTTGGCAATTAGTTGGATATTTGTCTCCAGCTGTGCTGGTCGAACTCTATGCCTTTGGGCAGAGAGGAACCCAGACGAGGCTTTGCCGAAGGGCAGAGTCTTGTCTGGGGTGGTAGACAGCTACCCGACCCCATGTATGCAGGGTCTATGGGGAATTTTTACCCAAGCTTATGGGCTTAGTTTTGACCCCACATTAAAAATGGCCTTGTTCACATCCTGCCATGGGGTGGGTGTAAGGTAAATAAACTTGCTTCAGGAATTACTAGCCTGCTAACCAATTCCCTGTCTTTCAGTAGTGTATTCTCTTTTACAATAAACCTTTCTTTCTTTCATCTACACCCCATATTGATGTTCCTTTCTTCTCGAGTACCACCTTTATCTGTTTGTAACCTCTTTAAGGTTACAACAGAGGAGAAAAGTGGGGTCAGTTCTCATTGTGTTAGAATGAGTGAATTAGTGATAATTATAACTGTTTAATTATTTTATTATAATTATTTTTGACATTATAATTGTTTTTTTTTTATGGACACAACTCTGACAGTTTAAAAGTGTGCTGGCTTGGAACATTTTCATTAAAAGCAAGAAAATGATTAAGATAACTGGTCAAATAATTAATTAATAATAGAAAATAAAATCTTATTTCCTGATTAAAATGATCAAAGTATATTACAGAATAATATTTCATTCAAATATTTTATATTTCTGCCTTTCAGTTCTCTATTATATGTTTTGAAATATATATATATATATATATATATATATATATATATATATATATATATATTTTAACTTTTTTTTTTTTTTTTCTCTTTCATAGATGCCATAGTTTTGGAGGTTTGTTTAGAGGCCAAGTTAATGGCCTTTTAAGCTTCCTTCATGTTAACTGCAGTAAAATTTTGAATATGTAAGAATTAAATATTATAGGGGGCACCAGTAAGAAGTAATGTTGAATTAAAAATAAAATTTATTAATTCTTTAGAAATTACATTGTACAATATAAAAACAGTTTACACTATTTACATTGTTCGGACTGTTGTCCTCATCATTGTTGTCAGATTCACAATGTTTCGGCTGTTGTACACTCTGGTTTTCTTCAGGTTTATATACATTGGAATTACTTTAACCAATTGTACAACAAACACTTTTTACAAATGGGATGTGGATAAAAGTTTTGGTTGAAGTAATCCAGTGCCTTACCCAAAAAGTTGTGAGTTCAATACCTGGCCACAGCAGAGGTGAACAAAAACTTGGAGAGTTGAGTTACTAAAGGGAAATAACTGGAACTGAGATATCCGGAAGAGGCATGGCATGTGGAACTAGAACAATCTACCCCAGTGGACTAAATAAAGGATTTGGTTCAAAATCCTGACATATATTACCTGAAGAAAGCCATAGTGAAACATTGTGAATATGACAATAAAGATGAGGACAACAGTTCGAACAATGTAAATAGTGTAAATTGCTACAATACTTCATCTCAGAAATGTAGACAAATGATAAAAACAGTTGTTTCCATGGAGATTACATTGTTCCTCATTGACAAAACAATGGAAGAAATGGAAGGAATCCTTCTTTTTTTTTTTTTTTACTCTTCATCTGTTCTTAGTCTTCAAGACACGTTGACAAGAACTGATGTCACATGTTTTTCTTTGTGGAAATGATGGGTTTCTATGCACGTAGCACAAATTCATGCACACTTTTTTTTCCGAAGATGTCAGATGTGTATTTTGAATTTCTTTAAAATAAACATCTAAGTCAGTTATACTGCTTGACTTTATTTTGATGTCAAGTTACATTAACCGAAAACAATCAAGAAAAAAGTATTTAAAAAAAATGTAAATGTCTGCAAATGTGTGTAGAATAACAATAATAAACAGCACTTACCGGCGTAAAGGTCCCAGCTAGCGTCTAGCTGGCAGACAAAAATAAAGCAGGTTGTAACTTAATAAAAACCCTGCAAACTAACTGCTAAATCAAGCTGGTATTTCTCCACTCAGGTACCAGCAGCCAATCACAGCCCAAGCAATGGACTATCCCACTTTAGCACAATGAGATGCTCCATGGCAACATAAATAGCTCTCTTTCTAAAGGTTGGATTATTATTCACTTAGCTTGCTCCACAACTGAGTGTTTATCTCTACCACGTGACTTTTCCACAATGTGTATGTGTGGGACTAAGATTTAGAAAGAGTGACAGAGACTGACTGACAATGTTAAAATGATTATACAGGATGTGCCAAAAAATTTGACGTCATTTTAAAAGCACTTATCTTGAAAACTACTAAGTCTAGCTCAATTAAATTAAACAGTTTAGGTGTTGAACATCATAAGTTTATTATGGGACTGATTTTATAAGTGTTCATTATGTGCACAGGCTGTGACACGGCACACATCAAGTCGGTAGTTATGCTCTTGCCAAACACGTTGTAGCATGTCTCCGGTAACATTATCCACTGTGGAAGTGATTCTCTGCTTGAGATCATTTCACCCTGCATAAGCAGCCTTCCTCTTTAAATTTTTGATACCAAGTCCAAATTTGTTTACCAGTTGGTGAAGTTTTTCCAAATTTTATATTGAAGGCACACTGCACAGTCTTGGGTGACTGTGTGCAAGCATATTCCAAGACACAAAATGCTTTCTCTTCGGAAGTGAATGGCATGGCTCAACCTGAAGACAGAACAAAAATAAAACATTAAATATAAAATCTTGATCTGTTTCTATACATTCTGTGAAAATTTGGGGTTATTTCAACAAGAATTGCCAAAATTATTGGCCTACAAAATAATGTCATAATAATTTGGGGGGACACCCTGTATTAAGCAGAGTATCATTTAGTCATTCCAAACCACAGGCCCTGGTATAAATGAAGGCTGCAAGACTGCCCTGAGTGTCATGAGATTGCTTTGGAAAATGATTTTAAAAGAAACTGTTAAAATAAATAGAGTGAATATATTTACATGATACTTATGGAATATAAAGCCTCATTGAAACTTTGAAGAAGAAAATAATTGAGAAAAATAAAGTAATGTGTGAAGAAAAAAAATGAAGACATGGTGTGATTTTTAAAAAATGGGATGTTATGTAAATAAAGTCCATTAGTACTTAACAGGTAAAGTAATGAAAACATTATGGCTGTAGTAGTAGGCTAAGTTTAATGAATAAAATGAAACAAAAATATTTCTCAAATCCACGGAAAAGTATCACCTACTTATCATCTTAACACCTCATTAACATTAACACAGGCATTCTTAAGGACAGGTCAATCTGGTAATTAGCTAAAACCAGATACTTGGATAAGTGAAACAAACGATCAAAGACCCAGTACCAAAGCAAAGGACAACCCTACTCACACTCCCTGACCACTTACCAACCTTAATATAAACCCAGGAAAAGAGGGCTTCAAGATCTGTTCTCTCTAGACTTTCACCAGATAGCAGATCAAGCTGGTCTATTCATTTAACCACCAAAGAACTAATCAGGATGACAGCCTTCTGTGGGAAATTTGTCCCAGCTTTTCAACATGAAAGGGTTAATGTTAAAGGTGACAGAATCAATAAAAGAAACAACAGCTTGAAAGTATGGAGCAGACAATTCTCTCTTTTAGGCAAAAGAATAAAAACATAAAATCCTGCTTGGTGTGTAACAATAGAAGAAGAAAATATTTATTTACATACACAAAAAAAGGTAAAGTGATATACATGAGAGAAAGAAAGGAAGAACATCTTTTAACTTAAAAGAAGTAAAAGTCTTCATATAAAGGCTTGCTCAAAATATTTCTCTGAGTGGCTAAATGTTCTTTAAGCAAGTAAATTGTTCTTTAGGAGTTAACACTAACATGATTTCTTCAGAGCTCTTGTTTAGGGAGGAGGGGAACAATTGGAAGATCTGTAGTTTGTAGCTGAGTTCATAGGCCAACATCAGGAATTTCAAGGTCCTAAGAAGCAGATCTTCATTAGTTTTAGTAAAGGGTTTAGAGCCCAACATGTAGATTTCTTCCTTGAAAGAGGTTCTGACGATGACTGGTTTTACTGTCAATGACCTGGTGTTATCACAGACAATGCCAAATACTCATTGCCAAAGAGTTGCATATTCTCCGTATTTATTGAGATTAGAAGGCTCAGAAATATCAGGAACTTTTCCCTCCAAATTTGCTTATACACTTTCTCCAGCCTTCTTATTCACCAGAAAATATATTCTTATCTCTGAGAGAATAAGAATCAAAGGTTTGGGAGCTGGTTTTAGAAGCAAAGGTCCTGTTATGTTGCCTATCTGCGTGCCTCCTCTACATGTTATCTTCTTTTATAGAAGGGGAGATAAGTACCATATTACATCCCCACCCTTGTTTTATTGAGAATGTTACTACATATCCAATCTTAGAGGTAGTCTTCTCTCTTAAAGGAGATATCTGTGTACAGGTGCAGGTACCTTTTTCTCTTCATCTATCACTGGTTCCAAATCCATATTAATGTATTTTTTCACAATTTCCAAAACTGCAAACAATTCATTGTAATCTTACACTGGGTGGCTGATGTCAAAGTCAACATATGGTGTTGGATTGAAAAGGGGGTGTACTTTTATTTCGCTTTGGTTGTTTAATGAATATCATGTCTCGAATTGATATATTTATGTTTTTAGTATTTCTGTTTTTGTTGTAATAATTCTTCATCTTCTGTTTCACATTAACTTCTGTTTCCCTTATTTCTTGTTCATCATATTTTCATTGAATTTCAGGAAGCTTCCCTCTAAACTGTCAGCTCCGGAACATAAGCTCAGCAGGACTGTGTCCTGTAGACAGGTGTCGCATTGAACGATAATTTTACAGAAATCAATACAATTCCCATTTCCAGCTTTTTCCTTCTATTTTAGCAATCTATATCAGTTAACACAAGATTCAACTGAAGTTTTCAAGTTGTGAATTGGCTTGTGGCCAGACAGGTGTAACAGGTTGATGATAGAAACCAAGGACTTTTGCAAAGCCCTTAATTGTCTCACCCTTCCAAGGAGGTCAATTATCTGTTTTTAAATTTTTAGGAATACCAAAGGCTGAGAATACTTTATCAAGTGTTGGTATAAAAACTTTAGCCTTTATTGAAGCAACAATTTCAATCTCTGGATATTTTTTGCATTCATCAGAAATTAGAAGCAAGTATTCTCCACTGGGCACAGGTCCCCACAAAAAAATCTGCTACCACATTTTCCCAAGGGCCATTTGGCAATACGTTAAATTGCAGTGGTTCTCTAACATTTTGATACATAGTTTCTTGACAAGAGAGGAAGTTCTTGATTGCATCATTTACTAACTTGTCTGACTGGGGAAACCAAAGCCTGGAACAAAGTAATTGCTTAGGTTTTACTAATCCCATGTGACCTTGATGTGCCACATTTGCGGGTCCGACAAGTTGTGAGCATTACCCCCACCCTGACTTTATGGCACGATGGTCAAAGCAGGAATGGTCAAATTCTTTTTTATATTTTCCAGCTCTCTTATTTGTCAGAAAAAATATTCTTATCTCTGATAAGAATCAAGGCTTTTGGAGCTGGGTTTTGTCGATTGTTTGACATTGTCCAACCAGTATCTGTCTATATTTCTGAGATGAGGTATTATGTACATTATTTACATTATTCGGACTATTGTCCTCATTTTTGTTGCCATTTTTATTACAACATTTTGGCCATTGTATGCTCCTCAAGGACACATGGCACAGTGGATAATGGCATTGGTTAGATCCAGTGACAGGGCCCAAAGAGTGTGAGTTCAATACCCGGTTAAGGCAGTGGAGAACTTTCAGAGGGAAATTAACAGGAGATTGATAACTGATATCCATTAAACATGGCACGTGGAACTAGAACAGTCTACCCCAGTGAGCGAAATAAAGGGTTAAGTTCGATATTCCAGCCACTTGAAGAAGGCCAGAGTGTACAACAGCCGAAATGTTGAAATAAATATGGCGACAAAGATGAGGACAATAGTCCGAATAATGTAAATAATTATCCAACCAGTTTTTACATTGGCATCCTCTCCTTCATCCATTTTTAACAGTGCCTTGTATGATAGTCTTGCACAGGTTGTTTTGCCTTGTAATGTGTCCAAACCATGTCATTTTTCTCCATTTGACAGTGGTGAGAAGAGCTTTCTGGTGGCCCACAAAACTTTCAACCCTTGTCTTGAAACTCATTGGTTTTATGTTCCCAATAGAAGATGCCAAGTAGTTTTCTCATGCATTTGTTCTCAAACGCTTGGATCCTTCTCTCTGTTTCTGCCAACAGTGTCCACATTTCACATCCATATAGGAGAGACTACCAGTGATTTGTATACTCTGTACTTCATTTACTGATTTTTTTCTTCCATACTCTTGCCAATTTGGCAATTGCTGTCATGGCTGCAGCAATCTGTGTCCAGTTCTGGGGTACAATTTTCTAACTCCTCCTCTTTTTCTCTCTCACATTATCTTTTCCTTCTCTCTTTCCTGCACTCCCCCCCTTCTCACTCACTCTGTGAAATCTTTTCTTTCTCTCTATGTATTACTCCTGAGCTTCTCTTCCTCTCTTTCACATTGTAAGTTACCTTCTCTCTGTGTACCTCTTTCTATCTTTTCTTCTTTCTTTCTTTTTCTTATTATCTTTTCCTTCTCCCTATGTGCCTCTTTCCTGCTCTCTCCTCTCTCTCTCATTATCTTTTCCTTATCTTTATGTGCCATTTCTGACATTCTCTTCCTCTCTTTCTTATTACTCATTATAGTTTCTTTCTCACTGTGCACCTCTTTCTACCTTCTCTTTCTCTCTCTCATTATCTTCTCTTCTTTATTTCTCTCTCTCTTTCTTATTATCTTTTCCTTCTCTCTATTTACATCTTTCCTGTTCTCTCTTTCTCTCTCTCATTATCTTTTTCTTCTCTCTATGTACCACTTCCTACCTTCTCTTCATCTCTCTCTCTCTCGTTACCTTTTCCTTGGTGTACCTTTTTCTACATTCTTTTACTCTCTTTCCCTTATCAACTGTTCTTTAATTGTGTTTGTTTTGTTATGTTTCTTGCAAATAACCCGGCAACTTTTCTTGTCTATAAAATACACAACAATTTATCCAGCAATGACAACTACAATCCCTTGTCAACTTCATTCTATTTTTTTTTTTTGAATTCCGCCTCTGACCTCTTTGGCTTTTCCTCTACATAATTATCCTATTTAAAACATGATTAATTGAACTCCATTGCATCAGGTCAAAGGGCAGGACTGAAAATATCGCCCAACAGAAAACCTTTGCTCAGTCAGTGCTACTTAGTGAGGACCCTTACCCTCACCTTTCTTTTTAACCTGTTCTACCCTCCTTCATTTTGTCTTCATTTAAATCAAGTAGAAAAAGCAAGCATAATGTGTGAAGTCATTTCTCTTCCTCTAACTCACACTGTTGGTTGGTAGCCTCAAAAAAGTATCGTTGCTAGAGACGCGTTTTACTATCAAAGAGAATTATACCAAGATCGCCTTTTGCTGTGAGATGTTAACAACAGTTAACACCATGAGCAACAAGAATGTGGTATCAATTTTGAAAGTCCCTTGCAGTTGGCCCACTGGGTAAGGTATGCTTTCTTTCTGTTTCCAAGCACCATCAACGTCATTATTACGAAGCCACACCATTTTTGGTAGAGGTGGAGGTAAGGCTAGACTTTATGAATTTAAGCACAGTACTAGATTAGTGGTAAGATCTCATCTTTTTACAGTTTAAATGGTTAGACATAAGTTCTCTGCAAACAGTTTCTTCTCTCATACTTCTTACTCATGGAACTCTCATCTTGTTTCTGGTTTTCCATTCAACTTTGATCTTTAAAAATTTAATAGCCAAGGAACAGGCTAGTTTTGAGGAAAATTGTTTTTTTTTTTCAGTTAGTATATTATTATTGTAATGATTAACATAGCTCTGGTTAAAATTTTACTCAAAACAAGAAAAGACATAAAATTTCTAATGGTAAAGTAAAATTGAATACCATTACAATGCAGTTCAGTCAAATAACATGGTAGATTAGCACAAAAACAAGGTTAAACCCCCATGAAAATTCTTAAACAGGGTTAAACCCACATGAAAAATATTTGTCCCAAAATAATATGGACATATTTCTTTAAAGATTGTTGAAAAGTTAATGCTAACCAGAGCATTAGTCATAACAAAAATCATTGTAATTAGTCAGGTTTAGATCAGATTTTATTCACATGTTGGCTAATTATGTCCAATTTTAGAATATACCTCTTATCTTGAACATGAAAAATGAAGCGATGCCTTTAGATCAGATTTTATTCACATGTTAGCTAATTATGTCCAATTTTAGAATATACCTCTTATCTTGAATATGAAAAACGAAGCGATGCCTTTACTTTTTTACATGAATTCAAGCTTGGTTATAATGCTTCTCAAACTGGTGCCAACATTAACAGAGAATGGAGTAAAGGATCCACATTTGGTCGGATAGTTTCTGAATTTCCAGAGTGGGGATACAACTCGTGAAAATCAAGGCATAGAGGACATCCATCTCCAACTAACAATCAACATCTGAAAACACTAGTCAAATAAAATCTATGCCAGAGTATCAGATAATGGTTGTCAGCATTTCTACAATATCGGAACATCTCAAGAAAATTGGCAAAGGAAAGAAACTCGATAAATGGGTTCCACATGAAGTCGGTAAAGTTGAAGAGTTTGATTTTTGAATTGTGTTCAATGCTGCATCTGCAAATTACTTAATTGCTATTGTTCTCAGGTTAACCTTGATTCAAGGTGGTAGCATCTGTTATGGTCCCAGCTATGGGCAAATAGTGAACCCCTCAAACAAAAACAAAGCACTACAAAAGCATAAAAATTGATTTTTATAGTAAAAATACCAGCAATACATTTTTATATAAAAAAATTTCCAATAATACATATTTATAGTAAAATTATGAAATTACTTCAAAGCTCTCAATAAAATTTTGGCATTAAATGACCCATAAGGAGTTGATATGCCATTAAGCAAACAAATGAATCAATCATTAGAAAGAAAGATTTCTGATCTGCCAAATGATAATTGATCTTCTACATGGTAATCAATGCTGGACAATTTCCTCAGAAATGAAGAAGAGACAAAGCAACAAATATGTATTTCTACCAACAAACACTAAGAATACAAGAAGGCATCTACTCACCTGACCTGTTCAACCTATACAGTGAGGCAATTCTGAGAGAATTGGAAACTCTAACAGGATTTGGCATTGGCAGCCACAATCTTAACAACATAGGATACACCGATGACACAGTAATGATAGCAGACAAGGAAAAGAAATTACAAAATCTAATACCAAAGGTGGCAACAGAGAATGAGAAGGGACTAAGCATAAACTACAAGAAGACAGAATGCATGGTCATTAGTAAGAGGATGAGCCCAAAATGCAATTTGCAAGTCAAGAACACTAGAATCAAGCAGACATGAAAGTTTAAATATCTGGGAAGCGTTTAGACAGAGGACAGTAAGTGCAACACTGAGATCCGTAGACTTATTGGGATAACCAAGGAGACACATTCCAAAAGCTGAGAAGAGTATTTCAAGACAGGAGGATTTCTTTGGTAACAAATAAAAGAATACTGAGCTGTTACATGACATCTGTCCTTCTTTATGGCAGCGAATGTTGGAGGATTTCATCAAAAATGAAGAAAAGACTCGAGGTGACAGCGATGTGGTTCTACAGAAGGATGCTAAGGATATCATGAACCGAGTGTGTGGGCAACAATGAGGTCTTAGAGAGGATGCAAACAAGGAGGTAGGTTATACTTACATCAGGAAGAGGCAGCTGAAGTTTCTGGGACACATAATGAGGAAGGAGGGCCTAGAGAATCTGATACTCACAAGTCGAATACAGGGAAAGAGAGACAAGGGAAAACAATGCATGACATACCTAGCAGGCTTAAGCAAGTGGATGACAGAACATAGTCTGGAGGAGGTAGCAAAGGGAAGGAACTTGTTGTGAACTGTGAGGGATAGAGGGAGAGCCATTGTCACCTACATTCTGAAAGGAGATGGAATATAAAAAGAAGAAAAGACTAGCTAGAGAAGAGTGCTTCCCCCATTAGAGTCTATGATCAAAAGAGAGTTTCTTTTGAGTTTTAAATGTGCCAGTCTGCTGTTATGTATATCCTTTCCAGCCAATCGTCTGTTTCTACTGCTGCTATTATGGCATTAAAAGAATGTTTATAGAATTATTTTTATTGCAAATTAAATAATCCATCCATAAAATCTGAGTTTCAAATAATCCACTCAAGTACTGGATTTAAAACAGCATTTCAAATTATATATCTGGAATGAATTGGTTTTCATTTCTATAAAGAAACTGAAAATGTGTGTCTTTCCCTTACCATTAAATAAAATTGGTATTTGCAGGTGGGGTCTGATAACTTAGGTGTGTTTCCGTTTTGTTTTGTTTTTTAGATTTTTAAGAAAATGCAATGGACACCAGCTGTCAATTATGATTTTTCTTTGAAAATCAGCACAGCACTGTGGGTTGAGGAGGAGTTCATGGGTGGGGAGCTTCAACTCTCACACATTTTTGTTTGAAATGAGGACAAAACAGAAGACTAAATTTGTTTTCTTGGCCTCCATCAATGACAATTCTGCTGAGATAGGGAAGATATCGGAATAATCTGTAACATTTATTGAAAAGCAAACCATCTGAACACAGAGAGAAAACAAATTTAGTCAGTACACAAAACAGAAAGAGGAGTATGACAAGGAAGCATTTTTTCACCAGATATATTTAACCTGTACAGCAAGACAATACTAAGAGAACTAGAAGTCCTATCAGGATTTATTATCAGTAGACATAATCTAAACAATTTTAGATATTCAACTTCTGATCATGGTTTGAGCAGACTGGTCTTGTTCAACACATTTTCTCTTAAAAAGACTCAGAAGTTAAAAGAAAGTACTCTTAAACAGTAAGGTAAAGGAAATCGAGAAGAAAGGACTAATTATACAGACTTCAAATCTTATTTTTTAAATGATGTATGGATTGTTTTGGATAATTTTGAGCAATTTTCAAATGATGAATTCCAAAATAACAACTATTTTCCACCATAGGCAGTGACATCTTGATAACATCTGGGGAGACAATCCCAGTATGTGGTACCATTGGAAAAGTGCCTGAAAACAGATTAATCTTAGCTTTGTGAGTGAAATATTTTATGGATGTGCTTTGCAGAAAATCACAAGTCATTGTAACCAAGGGTTTAAGCAGACTGGTCTTGTTCAACTCCTGATCATATTTTAAGCAGACAGGTCGTGATCATTTTCTCTGAGAATTTATAACTAACGTCCACACAGACTAGTTACAGTATAAGCGACAAGTTGTCACTTAATTTAGACAAATTGAATAAAGAAATGTTATTTTTTATAATAGATGAGACAGAGGATGTTGGGTCCTTATTGAAAGGAATGTTGAGTGCAAGTATTGCAAAAGATAAAAGGTGATCCCAGTTAAGCAAACTGTTCAAGTTAAGCACCTGGTTTATGGCAGTAGCCAAGGCATCAGCTGCCAGGATTCTGACAGATTTAGGGATTTTTAAAGGCACCTTCTGAAATTGCCTGAGGAGTGAGGTTGCCCTCAAAACTTTGTTGGCGTCTATTTGGGCTGGTTCATTACATTGATGGTTCACATTATCTTGCAGAGCCGAGAGAGAGAGAGACAATGTGAACAACTCCAAACAACCAAAGACACTGAAGCACTTCTAGTCAATCCCATGCATGATAAATGAAAAGACCACTGGCAATATTTTGTAATTGAAAGTGTGGGATTATCTCACAGGATAACAATATGAGTAATTCAAATTCTAGCTAAGGTTGTTTTTGTTCACTTTCGCACAGGCATGAATCCACTTTTCCCTGCATTCTACCCCCATCACAATCCACTTCTACTTGCACTCTATCTTATTGACAGAAGCTCTTGTCACTGACATGTCACAATAGTTAACAGCAAAAGAGGTGGTGTGAGTATTTGTGCAAACCTTCTCTTTATACCTGTCCAGGTCAAAGTAAAAGAGAGCTGTTCTTTCCATTGTTAGACTTGACAAGGAGATTTTTGTTTTGTTTGTTTTTTTATTTGATTTTTTTTTTTTACTAAAGT